ATGTGTATGAGTAAGAAAATGTGTATATGTATGTGTATATGTACTGTTATGTATTTCATGCGCCCCACGTTTTTCGTTTTTCAATTTTTTTCTTAATTATTATTCTCCACTACTAAAACGTGGTTTTTAAAAATATTACTTTTTATTTTGAATTTTTTTATTTTAAACTATGATTTTTTTAATTTTTATTTTATATTTTTAAAAAATTATTATTTTTTAATTATTATTCTTCACTACAAAAAACGTGGTTTTTAAAAATATATATTTTTATTTAGATTATTTTTCTTAGTCAAGAGTAGTCAAGACTACTACAAGACCACTACTAAAGTAATAGAACTTTTATTTTAAATTAGGGATACAAAAATCTTTATAGAAAAACAATACCTTTACGACTTTCATTAGTTTTATGCTGATGACAACCAAAACAATCTGGAAATGAATGAGGAAAAACTGGATCCTACCACGTGATTTTTCAGCCAATAAAAATACTCCGACAACAAAAATCTTTTCACCTGACACGTAATAATTTGAAATAATGGAATCGACAACAAAAGACAATCTCGAAAATATTTTTTTTTTTAAATTTTAATTTTATTTTACTTTGCATGTCTTTTTTCTCTTCATTTTCATGCATTGTCATCCAATTCTGAACTATGTGCCAAATTTGAAGTTTGTAGCTAGTCGGGAAGTTAGTTTAAAATCGATTACAAAATTCCACCCGGAAGGCAAGTTTATATAAACGTGGTAAAAAAAGGAAGAATTATACACAATTCGTTACATCCTTAATACATAAAACTATATGTTAAGGGTCACCGGAAATTAATATACATAGGCGAGTAAAAACAATAGCTTTTTAAAAAACTATGACCATTTTTAAGAAAATTAAAATCATGCCAAGCTTACCTAAAACTGAGGTTAAAAATGCTATGGAAGGATTAAACTCGAATAATTTGAAATGCTAAAGGGCGATGTTTAATACTCGTACTCAAATAAACAACAGTTTATTTGAGGTTTGAGTATTAAACAACGTATACTATACTTCATAAATTCAGATTCTAAAATAACTATGCTACTTTCCACCTGTATCAATACACTTATCGACAAATACGGGCTATGTTTTTGTTGTTTCGATCTGTTTATCTCGCCACGCCATTGTATTTACGAGTCGTTCAAATATTAAGTAAGCAACTAAGGGAAATAGCGAGTTTATTTTTGTGGAGCAATGCTGCAACAGTTATTTAATTTATACTGCAAAAAGCAGTGAAATTACGCTTGCAAAATTTTTGAATCACTATCACTAGAGCAACTCATTTAAAATTTATCACAATCACGTTACTTTCTCACGCACCTATATCTTCGAGGCGTATAACAAAAATGTACAATATTGATGCAGCTGTAATAAGCATCCAAGTTACTCATAAAATACTTTGTATCTATATAAAAATAAGCTTGGTACCTATTAAAATATAGTACTAATCACCAAAATTAAGCCCCATTGGTGTTAATAGTATGATGAATGTTTCACGGTTACCCCTAACAAAATTTTCTCAACACGTTCTTTTTAAAAATTTCAATTTCGAAAAATTATTAAAATGATCGTCGGTGCTAATATTTGCGTTTTTTTTCTCTCACGTTTATCCTCAACAAATCAGTATCATTTTTCAGTACAAACTCTAATTTACGGAACGCGCGAGCAAGAAATAATCTTTTTGATATGAGCTATAAGTTAGTCTTCTAAACCGATAAAAAGATTTAATTTGTTCTTATTTAGCTTCGGTTTACAGACACTTTTATTTTATATATAACTTGAACTTTTTTTTCCTCATTAAAATCAATCAAAAAAACTAATTCTAAACCATTCATGACTGACTATTAAACACAAGCATAGGTGCGCCGTTTTCCGTGATAAAAATTACTAGTTATAGTTAGAAATTAAAACTTAGCAAACACTTATTCTTAATGTATTAGGCGGCCAAATTTAAAACGAACGATTCTAAAGACAGAATTGGAAAACTGTTAAAATTTATTTCTTGCAGCAAATATGCCAGAGTATAACATTAAGCTTGATAAAATAGAAGAAAACTGAAAATCATGTCGGAGATAGTTTAAAAATATTTGAAAACGGAGAGAATAGGCTAATAACGCCATCTATTAGAAAATGATAGAAATAAAAAGTATCCGTGGGTGAGAGAAGCTTTGTCCCACGAAATAAGTACATTAATTTGTTTTTAATTTTATAACTTTCAACCTATTAAAGGCACCCTTTTTATGTTTTGCACTATAGAATTTAAGTTTCTGTTGTTCAAGAGGGAATAAATACATTTTGCACATTAATGTCCCTATAGATTTAATTTACCCATCATCACTAACCTGAAGAAAAAAAAAAAAAGCAGTAGCACATCACTTGCAGATGAGCTTTAAAAGTTAACGCTAGGTCTAAAAAAATCAACCAAACTAATAAATATAAGAATTACTATTCAAATCCTAAGAATAAAATTCAATATTCACTAAATTAGTTGTTGGTATTCATCCTATTAGTCTATTATTAACAGGAACTGGGTTCTAGAATCATTGCAAATATACATTTGCTGCGAAAGAAACAGATTCCTTTTAAGATCAACACCATTAAGTGTTTGTCAGATAAGTTTAACTTGTAAAAATCACCACTCCTCTAAAGAATGCGGTGTTTCAAACTTGTCAATAAGCACATTACATAAATAGAAAATACTCAAACTGTACTGAATATTCCCATGCTGATCTTAACCAGGATGTGAAGTGAGAAGAAATTTTTAAAAAATTCCCAGTAAATCCAAGATTTTCCTTGCATTGAGAGATATTTAAATTAAATTTTATTAAATAAAAAACCTTATCATTTAAAATATACAATCGAAGTAAAATAAAATAAGGAACACCATGTATCTGAAAATTAGGAAAGTGTTATTCTAGACCAGGGGTTTACAACTTGCATGAGGCCTGGCCACAATTAAAAGCACAAATCATATGGCGGGCCGCAACTTTATCAATTTTTTGTAGGACTCTTATGTTTGAAGGAACATTAAATATTATTGTCAGAGTTTTCCCAAGTTGTTCGAAACAAAAGTATTGAATTACAAATTAAAATAAGAATTTTAAAAATATTAATTTATTATTAATAATACTAGGAGGCTTCGCCCCCTGCTCGCCAACCCCCGGAACTGCTTTCGCAGTCCAATGCTCGCTCATTGGCTACGTTCTTAACGTCTAGTTTTGAATACTGATGTTCCGAAAACTTTTCACTGTAGAAAATTCTAAACCTGTGCATTTCAATATTAATTTGAAATTGCAAACAGTTCACACATTTTTCTTAATCACACTATTCTAAATTTCAGTTGTTGAGAAAAGTAACTGTTGCAAGTTTTGTTTNTGAGTCGAGTGTTGCAGCTAAATTGAACAAAGTTTTGAAGAACACTGGCTTTCAAACAATGAAGAAAGTCTCTAGGATACTAATAGGTGAAGCAACAAAAGAATCCGGGCTCTAATAATAATTAATCTCATAGTTATTATATATATTAAGAGTGCTTTGTTTTTTGAAACTATGTCCAAGGTCTGCAAGCTTTGTTTTACAGATTGCGAAAATTTTTGATACTTTCATAATGGCTTGACACTAAAATACCAACTCTGCTGTCGCTGAAATTTCTCTTCATAAATACATTAACAAAATAATATCCCAAGACTTTACATGGTTATAATTAGTTTCTGGCAAAGAACTCTTCCTCCTGGCTAAACATTTCTTGATCTACCCTTTATAAAAACAATTTATTCACAATTTTAAAGATATTCAATATTAAGTGGCTCATTCTATTTTTAAAATAATAATTACTTAATAGATGTAAAAAATTAATTCAAAATTACAATTAATTTAACTATCATTTAAAAATGTTATCCAGTGTATCTTTTAGATGTAAATAAATGCTATTTATAAAAGCATATTCAACAAAACATTAACAAAATTAATATTGATCATACCAAATTTATAAAGTATTAAGCAGAATTTGTAATGAACAGAATTGTAAAGAATTAAGCAAAATAAACAAACTCTAATAAATTCATATTACAATGTAAATATCCCCTAAAAATGTTTATCATTATTTGCAACTTGGTTCAGCATTTAAATTTGTTAAGTGAAATGTTATTTTTGAGATGTAAATACAATGAGAACTAAAGCGAAATTTTTTTTTTACCCTACATTTGTAAAGTTTAACAAATCTGAGATAATTTAATTATTTATCATTGAGAGATGAATTAAGGTAATGACAAATCTGAAATTTTTTCTTCCCACATTAACGGAACATAAGATTTTTTTGCCGTATTTCACTTCTTACTTTTTAAAAATCTTAGCTCTAGATATTATGAGCTCTGTTAATTTCAAAGACAATGGTATATTGACCTATAAACAGGGTTCATATAGAGATCAGAAGAAATCCAAGGAGTCCAAAATTTAAAAACATTGCATAAAAGATATAATCTAAAAGTGACAAAGACTAACAAGAGAACTAAAAATCGCCGTTAGGAAATTTCTTCGACTATGTCTAGTTGCCCACCGCAAACAAGAAACACAGAAGTACACGCACATGCAGGTAACATGTTTCGTGAAACGACTGGAGTTTTCACATGACAGTAGGGGGCTGTAATAATTCCGCAAACTCAGACGAGAACAAAATTCGTGCTTGAAAAAAAATAAATAAAAAAATATCCCAGTTTGGAAAATTAAATACTCTTATTTCATACAGAGCCAACCCCTTAAAACATATTTAGAATATATGGAGATATTACTAATAGAAAAATGAACAAATAGAATTACTTGAATAACGCTTCTGAAATAAATCACCTCTGATTAAGTCAAAGGTAATTTTTTCAGTATTTGTCTTCAGTGTCTTAAGTTTTTAATATAAAGTGTTCAATAATGTAATATGCTTTAATTGATATTTAATAAGTAAAACTGCCACAAATATACAGATACATACAATTTTTTTTAACCTTTATTTTAAAAGCGTGATAGACATACAATAGCAGATTTCCAGACTTATGCCTGTAAAAGAAACAAAAATCAATAATTATTCCAAAGTAAACAAATATATACACAATTGAAGGAAATTTAAATTAGAAAGCAAAAAGTAGAAAAGAGAAAGCAGTACCAGAAAGCTCCCAGAAGTGCATCTTTAGTGTTTCTGCGAAAAAGATACTTATCAATAAATGATCTTAAAATTTTTAATATGTTAGTGGCAAACCCAAACTCGTATTGTTAAATCCAGTATGCAGTAAAACCATGCACTATCTAACTTTTAGTGTGATGAATCAGTCAAGATGAAAATCACAAACTAAATTACTTTTTAAATTTAAGAGCATCTTAACTTTAAGTACAAGCAGAATAAGGTATGAAAAGAAAAATATAATTTTGTAGCTCTAAATATCTGAAACCTAGAGAGGCAAGAAGGAAACAGTACATAAGAATTGTATAAGAATAAAAAAAGGTTAATTTAGTTAATTAATAAATTTGCACACATATTATAAAATAAGGTTTTAATTTCAAAATTTAAATAAGCATGCATCTTAGCAATTATACTTAAAGATAGTTGATATAATTTTTACGAAACGACTAAAAGCATGCCAACAAATCTTAGTAGCTAACTTGAATACTTAACATTATAAGCTTTATTAAAACAATTACTTCAAAAAAAATTTGTAACAATAGTATGACTTAATGATTGCAAGAAAAGAAAAGAAAAGAAAAAAAAAAAAAAAAAAAAAAAAAAAAAAAAAAAAAAAAAAAAAAAAAAAAAAAAAGAGCTGGAGCTATAGTTATCCATATAATAAAATTATTACGCACTTCCTTTATAAAAAATTATTAAGAATAGGTTCAGAGAGAGTAAATTCTTACACTCGCTGGCAAAACTTTTATAGATTCGATCTACAAGATAACAAGCTAAATGTTACAAACTAGGTCAAAATACAAATTATACCGCAGAATAAGGGGAGGGGAAAAAACCGCACGAAATTAGCAATTGTAAAATTAGATTGAGAAGAAAAAGCTATACCTTCTTTCCTGCTGCTGCGCCTACTTTAGCTTTCTTTGTTCCCCTAACTTTTTTCATTCTGTTCTTCCTTTCCTTCCTCTGTTTTCTTCCAGTCTTCTGCCTCTCACCAAAACCATTCTACAAAAGAAAAAAGTTACATCAGTAAAAAGAGGTCCAGCAAACATGGGAGTAACATGGCTCAGTTAAACTAGACAAAACAAGCTTTTTGTACACTCTACCCCATCATATATTTATACCTAAATTCATGTCACAAATAGCACACAAAAAACTATTCCAAATTTGAAAATTTTAAATATTGCTATAAGTAGTAATTAAGGCCTAACATTGCATAAAAGAACTTGAACTAAAAAAAAAACTGAATAAATACTGTGTTAAAAATCCATTTCAATGAATAAATATATTAAATTATTAAAATTAGAAGTTAGGACAAAAATAAAACATACTGTAATAAGGATTTCATGTTTTAAATACAGCTGTTACTTTTATTTCAGCCCTTGTACTACCTTTAATTATAAAATTTGCAACATGACTTATTAAAACCAGCCTTCCCATGTCACTTAAGCTGAAACACTTTTAGCACAGTTTGTGATTAGCTTTGTATGGCTCATTTGGTATGCATTCAACCCAGCTGCATTTGATCGCAGACTGAGCAAATCGAAATGCTTAAGATTGTAAATAAAAAGTTTTTATAGAAATAAAGTTAAAAAATTTCCTTTAAAAACACCTTAGAACGTATGATTTAGATAACAAAGTTATACTGTTATTTTTTTTTTGCCTTTTGTTACTTTTATATTTATGTAATCAAATTTTATATGGTGTGTTAAATGTAAAGCCATTACAACGTGATACACCTGTTGTAAGTGCTTTTACTGTATCAGAAGGTGATGGGGAAACTAACCGAGTTTTAGGGGGCATGGCGAACTGAGCAATCTTAAACCACTGAACTAAAATTAGCGTCGATCGTAATAAAATGGTACGAAGTATCACATTAAAAAATACCAGGCAGATTCCTCATTGTTTAGTAATAAATCCCAGACAATTTAAGATAATAAATAACTATGTGCTGACATAAAATTGTGTACTAATTTATTAATATATGAATGATAACATCGATACTTAACATTTAGTAAAAAGTAAAATTACCAATTGAAAAAATAAAGCTATAAATTATATTTTTATTCAGCTCACATAGGAGACAATTATTACTTGAGAAACTAACTAGTTTAGCAAATAAAAACTACTGAGAACATACATTGACATTCCTTTTCTTTTGATATATACTGTTACATGATTTATAACAAGTAAATCAGAAACATGATTTTTTAAATTATTTAGAAAAGAAAAGAAACTTCAAGATANAAAAAAAAACTGAATAAATACTGTGTTAAAAATCCATTTCAATGAATAAATATATTAAAATGAGAGGTTAGGGCAAAAATAAAACACATACTGTAATAAGGATTTCATGCCTTAAATACAGCTGTTACTTTTATTTCAGCCCTTGTACAATCTTTAATTATAAAATTTGCAACATGACTTATTAAAAACCAGCCTCCCCATGTCACTTAAGCTGAAACACTTTTTCCCCCCACAGTTTGTGATTAGCTTTGTACGGCTCATCTGGTATGCATTCAACCCAGTTGCATTTGATCGCAGACTGAGCAAATCGAAATGTATAAGATTTTAAATAAAAAGTTTTAATAGAAATAAAGCTAAAAAATTTCCTTAAAAAACATCTTAGAACGTATGTTTTAGATAACGAAGTTATCCTGTTATTTTTTGTCACTTTTATATTTATGTAACTAAATTTTATATGGTGTGTTAAATGTAAAGCCATTACAATGTGATATAAGAAAACATCTGTTGTAAGTGCTTTTACTGTATCAGAAGGTGATGGGGAAACTAACTGCGTTTTAGGGGGCATGGCGAACTGAGCAATTTTAAATTAGTGTCTATCGTAACTAAAATTAGTGTCTATCGTAATAAAATGGTACGAAGTAAATTAAAAAATACTATGCAGAGTCCTCATTGTTTAGTAATAAATCCCAGACAATTTAAGATAATAAATAACTATGTGCTGACATAAAATTGTGTACTAATTTATTAATATATGAATGATTACATAGATATTTAATAATTAGTAAAAAGTAAAATTACCAATTGAAAAAATGAGAACAAACATTAACATTCCATTACTTTTAACAAATACTATTACATGATTTATAGCAAATATATCAGTAACATCACTTCTTAAATTATTTAGTTTCCTATTTTTAATACTCTGTTCATATTATAATCTAACCCTGTGAAACATATCAATAACTGAGAAATAGAAACATATAATAGCTTCTTAACATACAAAAATTGCTATCTTAGCTTGAAAAATTACACTATAATCAGCAACTAATTATATTTCATTTGATATGAATTTTGCATTATATAGCATAAGCAAAAGCAACAGTATTTCCTAAATTTTGGAGCTGAGTTAACTCTTTTTTCAAAAACATTGAATAACACTTTAAGTGATTGCTTTTGTTTGCAGCAAATGCTTCATGTTTCACAAAACAATCCTTTAACAAGGTCAAATTGCTTGTAATGCAGTAACAGTTATGCTCCAGATATGAAAAGTTTTACATATTGTTAGTAATAGCAAAACTGACACAAACAGATTGGTGATTAACCCTTTTGCGACATGTTTTTTCCCCTTCCTACAACAGAACAATTTTGGTAGCATAAACTATGAATAGGGCAGCATTACGTATGGTAGCACCATCTATGCTCTGTGAATGAAAATACCTTCAAAAATATTGGCATGATTATTGGGAAAGTCTCCCATTAGACAAGGAAGGGTTTCAGCCCCAAAAGATTTTTTTGAAATTAGCTTGGGACATATGTGTCCCGTTAGGTGTGAAAGGGTTAATTTAGTCGTCAGCCCTTCTTCGCACATCTTTTGACAAATCCTATTTTTCTTCTTCTGTACCTGCCTGTCTTTGTAAGCATAGAATGTAAGTTTTGAATGGATCTCTTCCAGTTTCAATGATGTTGTAACGGCTATACATACTTACTAATAATCACCGGTAGAAAAACTTTCACCCTTATGGTAACAAATTCAAGAAAAAAACTTCTGGATTTTCAAATCGCGTAAATAAGAATAGCAATGAACAATATTTATACCTCGTGACTACGAATCCCAAACTTGTTATAAAACAGTATGAATGAACCACGACATTGGATTTTAAACTTGCATGAATATGAATCACAACATAGGTTTTTGAATCTCATAAACAAGAATCACAACTTTAAACCATGCAAATACGAAAAGTCATATTTGATATTAAAATCGCATGAATAAGAATAGAGATGTTAGCAGATTCTGCACTTGGGATACCTAAAAGGCTTGTTTGAAGAAGCGATGTTTGAATTACGAAAATACAAGCCACCTGGCAGGTGGGTAAAAATGCGAAAAATCTTGCAAGAATGCTATGATACCAAAAAATTTAAAATTATATATTTACATTTATTAATTTTCCAAAAATAAAACAGATGATCATTGAATTTACCTGTGATACATAATTCTTAAAGTTCTTATACAGAAAAAAAATCTTAAAATAAAATGATTATAAGTTAACATAAAGACCTTCATTAAGCATATATTTAGAGCTATATAATATACCCATAGTTGTACACCAAAAAAATTATTTTACATAAACACCATATAATCAGTAACTAAAAATATTATGAATTAAATAGTAAAGCTTACCCTAATGAGACGATATTTAGGTTCAAACTTTTTAGCGAAGTCTAATGTGTCATATATTAAAGCAAATCCTGATGATTTTCCACCACCAAATTGTGTTCTGAAGCCAAAACAGAATATTAAATCTGGAGTAGTTTTATACAGTTTAGCTAATTTTTCTCTAATCTCTGTCTTAGGAACAGAGCCTTTGTTAGGATGAAATACATCTACAACCTAGAGAGAAAAATGATATTATATAAGAATACTAAATTACATAAAATATGCAACAAAATACAAATAGAATTATAACTTTATAATGGGAATAAAACATTAAGAGAGATATTGCCAGTGTGATAAGAGCAATATTACTGCACCCCATAACCATGTAGCAAAATTGCTTTGCAGACCCACCCGCACTTCATTCATTGAACGTTATATACAAGGTGATTCTAAAAAGATGGGCAAAATTTTAGGAAGTGATGTACGCAACCAAGCAAACAATCTTATCAAAGAATGTATGGTCGAAAACAAAACGCAAAGGTGCTGGAGCATTTGGAAAGTTGTTTCATGCAAACGTGAAAGCTCCATTCCTGTTGCGAGTTATTATTGGCATGTTATGGGAAGAGTTCGCATAAAAACTTTCGCACGATTCATACACAAAAGCTGCAGATTCGAGAATGCATTGTAAATCGCGGTAGTAACCAGGGATGAAAGTACTAGTTAGCAAAAAAAGCCGAATTCTACATAAACGCATTCAAACATTATGAAATTAATAAATGTATGGAGCTTAAAAAGCTTTGAAAAAAGCTGAATTCAGAGTAAAAGCTGAAAACTTCCATGCCTGAGTAACGCAACTGAAGATGTTGTCCTTCTCCAATAAGGAAAAGGCTGATACGCTTTTTGTCTTTCCTTTTGGTTCCAATAGAATACAGCACCATCTCATTATGTAGGAGGAGTGTAAAGCTATCTGAACGTAACCTTTCCAAACCAATGGATTCGATGCAGCGGTCCCATAGCTTTGCCACCGCGATCGCCAGATCTTTCATGTATCGATTTCTTTCTATGGGGATAGCTGAATGTTCTTTTGTATGAGACTCACATTGAATCAGCAGAAGAACTTGTTGCTAAGCTGCAGGGGAAGTTCACGATATGACTGGTGTGTTTCAAAATGTTCGCCAATCTTTTCTTTGTTGCTGCACCGCATGCATAGCTAATGCTGGTCATTGTTTTGAACACTTATTGCAATCATAAGTCATTAAATTTACTTTTATAACATAATTTCATCGTTCTTTATGCATTTTTGCCTCATAAGAATAACTTTCGACGCCCTATAACGGTTTTGTCTTCGACCATGCACTCCATGATAAAAATTGTTTGCTTAGGTGTGTACTATCACTTTAGCAGATTCCCATTCCAAAAAAACTCAGAAAATAAAATCTAACTTTTTCTCTCACTAAAGATTTTTTTGGGAAAAAAACAAACTACATAATGGATATAAAAATAAATTTAAGTCTAAGATTTCAAGCCTTAGTTTATGATACTATAGATTACCGTACTGAAACTGCAGCAACAATAAAACAAAAGAAAACTACTACAAAGGAATGCAATTGTTACAAGCCACAGAAGCTTAAAAATTATACAACATTTAAGATTTCCATAATTTGAATTAATTCAGCAACATTCAAGGTTTACCATAAGAAATTAATTCTAATGATAAGGACACTGTTGCAACATTTATGATCACTCCAGTGTTTTCACTACAGCGCAAGAACCTCACATATTTCTTGCTTTTTCGGCAATAAAAAATTATAAATGAGAGAAGTTCGAGCACTGTATTAAAAAGACATGAATTAATTACGCACGAATTTTGAAAAAAACTCAGTCTTTTGCCATTTTGAATAAAATTCGTTTCACTTTTCGTCCTTGATCTTTCATTATTTTGAACATTGGCCCTTGGTATCTAGCTACCCCTTTTTACCAGTATTGTTCATAACTGGTGCGAACGGCAGAACACATTACTCTGCAACCACATGTTCACCGCAGGAAAGGTTTCTGCATAAAAGATGTTTACATTGTTTGTGCATGAATGTAAGATGAACAAATACCTTATTAAGACAACATCTTCTACTCCGCAGCGGACAAATAAAAAAAAAAAAAAAAAATTTTTTTTNAAAAAAAAATGTTTAGAAAAAGTCAAAACGAAACAAATACGGATATTTTTCAACCAAATAAATATAATAGCTGTTGTAAAAGTAGACGTAGAACATTTTCCTCATGATGATGCAGCAAAAATATTCAATTAGAAGATGTTAAAAATGTATTACAATTAATGAAATAATTTTTTTTCAAGAATCTCTAAAAGTAGTTCTCTAAAGTAATTTGCACTTTTTTAATTTTTAAAATCTCACCCTGTTTTTGAGAAAGGGTAAGAAATTGTCCCTTTTTTTTTTCTCTAATGAAAACACTGCACTCACAACAAAATATATCATTAATTTATTAATAAAACATAAATCTTGATAACGGTAGAAACAATTTCATTTATATCACAAAAATATGAAATGTAAAGAGATTGTTCAAGATACAGAAATCAAAAAATTACTAATTTTTCAAGTTTTCTGTAATTTGAATTAATTTAGCAACAATTAAGGTTTACCATTAAAATTTAGCTCTAATGATAAGGACACTGTTGCAACAATTATGACCCCTCATAATAAAAAATTACAATTGATTTACTAAGCCTACTATAAGGTAATAAAACTTGATAACTTTAGCTATCATTTCATTTATATCACATAAATAATGAAATATATAGATACAACTGTTCAAGTTACAGAAGTCGAAAAATAACCAATTCTTCAAGTTTTCTGTTACCTGAATTAATCTAGCAACAATTAAGGTTTACCATTAAAATTCAGTTCTAATGATAAGGACACAGTTGCCAATTATGCACTATACATTTGTAATTATAATACTACCTAAATTTTCAGTATTATAAAAGATGAAAGAGAAAAATTTTACAAATTATGAAGCCTCTAAAAATAGCTTTATTCAGTATATCAGAATGCACGCAATGCAAACACTGTAAGTATAATTGTTTTAAACAACATAAAACAATATGCAAGCAGTCGAAAATAAGCAACATTAAAATTAATAGCGAGAAAATTGGAATGTCACCACAATACAATCACTGAATAAAAATGAATTCAAGTTAGATAGAGACTTTATAAGGACAATCCTAGGATCCGAATTAATCATTCAGAGAATGAAGTTTAATTTCATATTACTGTTATACTTATTAAACATAAGCTCAAAATAGAAACATGAGATAATATCATATAACAAGAAAACTACAGTATTTATGAAGCTGTTGATAAAATAATATAGAAAGAAGCAAATATCTTACCATTTGTTTACGGCACAATAGCCGATTTGACATAAATTTTTTTGTCCTCAGGGTAACCGTACTTTCCCCCTAAAATATAAATAAAAAATTAGAACGATAGGTTTATAGGAGACATAATAATGTAGTTCACTTTCATGAAATATTATGCATGAATGTCAAGACCGAATCATTGAAATAAATTATTATTTTGAAATATTTCGGGATAAACGATAACGAATATCTTGAAATTTCAAGATTAAACAACAGTAGATTTTATTTCAAGTGATTAAGTATTTCTAAATGTTTTCAGAATTAATAGATTCATTAAGATTAAGACTTACCATGCTTGGTTAGAATATTATTTACTCCCTACTATCACGCAAACAGTTTACAGAACAGCGGCGGACATCATAGAAGTTGAGTTGAATTGTATCTGCCCTACTTCAAAACATGAAACAGTTAACTGCTATTGTAACTGAAATAAATAAAAAGTATCACAGACAAACACTTCAACTTTAAAATTGAGTTTAAATTGGTGATTAAAATAGATTGCAGATGGCGTATATCAAAACTTTTTACCTATGGCAATATTTTATCATCATAATGCGTTTAGCATAGGAAAAAGACTTATGTTAGATTCTGCCTTGATTTTCAAATCGATTTAAAAATTTTTAGTTTAGTTGAGTTCAAAATTATATTATAAAAATGCTTAAAGGACTCATTTGAGAAATTTTGAGGAAGTATTTGTCGAATAAATGTGAAAAATATTATAGAAGTAGAAAACTCGCAATGCATTCCCACGTACCTAATAATAAGAGAAAAGAAGGGCTTATTCAAACGTTAAGATTTCATTAAATTGTGATGCAAGCAAATTTTAATTTTAACATGTGCCACACAAACAGCACAGGTAAAAAAGATATATTCGTTTATTTAACCTTCCACACTCGCTATACCAATGAGGGGATTCTGTCGCAAATTCAACTTTAAGGGCCATTCTCTCTGAAAGTGGTTCATGCAACTTAGATCACCATCAAAATATGAGAACACGATTGGTGAAACATATATTATTACGGAAAACCTTAATAAGCGATCGCAAGGCTCGAATGCGCCATATAGAAAGAAGATCGGTTCCATACCTTTGGCCCTTCCCCCTTCCCTTTCCTCCTCTTTTCAGTTGTATAGGAATGTACTAAGCTATTTTTCCTTTTCCTAATATTTCTCGTATTTGATTGTTAAAAATATTTTTGAATATTTCCATTACGCTATCTTTTAGATCAATCAATGTTTAACGTAGTTTTCAGCTACATGCAGTTCCCTAACTTACAAGATTTTAATCTAGTTAAAATTTACGAGACCATTCACATATATCAGATTGTCCTAGACGCACGTTTAGAAACTACATCAAATGAAGATCTCTCGCAGATGTGATTGCATGTCATTGCCATTCTAGTATATAAACTTTCACACGCACGTTTAGGTAAACCACATACATTGTGAATGTTCCCCCAGAGGAACTTCTTGTGCATGCAGGTATCATATTTACGTGCGATCGAATATGCGAATCGCATGCAGGGAGAATGTTCTATAAGAGATATCTATAAGACATGGACAGTAGAACACCGAAGTCAAGCATCGCTGACTGCGATCAGTAAGCAGGTGGATGACCACTTTGATCAGCTTGCTTAGGGTATGAAACTGAGCGGTATTGGTCCTCGGTAAACAGTTCTTCTTCGCGTGTAGGTCGATAAAAAGTACCTAAAGCTCCATAAAAGACATGGCCACTTTCTGCGATTTCCTTGAGTACGAAAATGCGAAGAGACATGATTGGCACTTTTTTCTGGGGTGAATATTTTTTTTTCATTCACCTGCGAAGAAATCACGGGTATTTGTTTTCATAGCCCGCCTAGAGAGAAATTCCTCAATTAGGGTCTCCTTTCCCTTAGCTGGAGATTGATGGTACAGTGCGTAAAATAAAAAACTGACCACCCTGAATAACTTATTTTCGGTTCTTCACGGTCTAGGACTCCAACTTAATGGTTCGAGGGGGTAACCTCAAATACGCTAATTAATTGGTGTAGACGATACTTTAGGTTACAAAATCAGACACAAAAAACGAATTTTCTCTAAAGAAACAAACTTTTTTTTCGACGTATTCGGATTTTTGACACTTAAAATATAGCAATAGTAGCCGCAATCTGGGAAATATGGTCCCCGTAGTTTGGTCATAAGAAAGAGCCAAAGTTTGGACAACCTAACGTTAATTTTATTTTTTGCGAATTTCACCCCAATCGGAAACTTTTGAAGCGAATTAAAAAATCTTTTCACACAATTATAAAATTCGTTGACCCAAAGGTAAATCTAAGCAAAAAATTTTTTAGAAAATATTTACAATTTTTTATTATTTTATTTAGCAATAACCGAAAAAGTTTTGAATTGTAAGGCATAAAATTTTCCATATAATTTCAAAGTATCTAATTTTACAATGCAAATTACAATTTTTGAATGAAATCGGTCGAATAGTTCCTGAGAAATTGAATTTTAAAAAAGTCATATATTTAAAATTTGATTTCTCAGGAACTATTTAACCGATTTCGCACAAATTTTGTACTTTGCCATACTTCAAAATTGCGTAAAAATGTGTATATCTCACAATTCAAAAGTTTTACGACTGTTACTATTAAATAAAATAATAAAAATAGTAATTATTTACTAAAATTTATTTTTTTACGTGGAATTGTTTTTGGATAAATGAATTTTATAACTGTGTGCACAGATTTTTCAATTCGCTTTAAAGGTTCTCGAAATAATGTGAAATAATTTGGGGGTAAAAATCCCGAATCCGTCGAGAAAAAGGTATGTTTATTCGTCTTCGTAAAAAGCACGTTTTTGTGACTGATTTCGCAACTTAAAAAATATCGTCTGCACTTATTAGTTAGTACATTTGAGTTCACCCTCTCGAACCATTAAGATTGAGTCCAAGAACGTGATGGTCCGATCATTAGATCAAAAGTTATTCCGTGCTCTGTTTTTTTTTTGGCGCATTGTATGAGAATCGCATGCAGTGAGAATTGTCATTGCATCCGGATAGCTTTCAAAATGAAATGGATAGTGATCAGATACAGAGCTCCTTTACTATGGCTTAAGAGTGGCTTTAATTATAAATAGTGATGCAAAAAGTTTGATAGTATAGATATTAATGCACGGGAAAAAAACCCCTGGAGTTTTAGGAATTAAACCCGGTAGTTTGGGAAATATTGGAAATTTTGAAGGTTTTAAGAAAAGTGGCCGATTTTCAATATGAACTGAAAGATTTGTAGAGTTGCAATGCAAAAAAAAAAGTAGAATTATCATATGAGCCACTTGGTATACACCAATTTAATTGCAATGGCTTTAGTGTTTTTTTCTAAATTCCTCATTAAAATAATATTTTAAAACTCCATTTCAGTCTTAATTCTTTTTAACTCAATGAATTAATACAAAAAATTCTGAGTATAATTATTTTGAAAAATTAAACTTGTTCATTTTTCATCATAACATGAATTGTCTTGACTCTTCTGTTTCCTCCTCTTCTCAATTGTATGGGAATGTACTACGATATTTTCAGATTCCATATTAGTTTTCGTATTTAATTGTCAAGTATATTTTCTAAAATTTCCATGACGCCTTCTTTTAGAACTATGTATAATTCAATTTTCATTTCTATATAGATTTATAACTTAAAAGTTTTTAATCTATTATAAAATCAAGGTTAAACTAACGCACCTCTTTCTCCTATGACTATCCACACGCTAATTATAAAAACACGTGAAGTGTTGCCATAGGTAGAGAGTTCTACTCTGCCCTACCTATAGTCACTTTCGATTGCCAATGTCTTCAGGACTATAGCAGACAAAACTAGAGCCCCTGAATTAAATAGTATAGAAGTCTTAAACAAAACCAGAACGTTAACCACGCTTCATTGTGACGTCAGAAGAGAGGAGAAAAGGGCTGTTCTCATTCGACGATAAGAAATGGCATGCGAATGGTGATAAATATTTTGTCCCGCGAAAAACTTACCAATCAGGCAGCTAGAAAATCGCAGGCAATGAGAATGGTCTGTAAGAACTTTGGTAGTTTCCTTTTTTCCTCCTTCTCTTCATCTTGCTTCTATTTAGGATTTATGTCTAATCACCCAAATTGCTAAGACCTTCATAAAATCGTTTTTTGTTATAAATCATCAAGCTTCAGATTTTCACATAAAATGAAATTTTTTTTTTCATTTTCTTTAGTTTGCCGACATAGTTAAGCCAGAATGTTTGTCTTTAAATCTCTGGTGTCCTTCTTATATATGCTCTATTATTAAATGTTTTCCTTTAAAATCTTTTGGCCCATTTACTTTGAATTTTGTATAAATTTTCTCTAAATGTATGTTAGCAAAAGAGTTTAACACGAAAACTGTTAAAACTATTGTTTCATATTCACCAGCCAAAAAAAATTTTTTTTGGGTGGATTTTTCATTGCCTGCGATAATTTAATTTTCAGACTATTACGCATTAATTTTTTCCTTTATTCTGTAATGATTTGAAAATTAATATTATGTTTAATGCATAGTTTCATTATTTACAATACTTAAAGAGCATGCAAAATTTAAAAAAAAATATATTGATTTTTGTTTGCTTGTCAGAACGCATTTTGAAATCTCTAACAACTCCAGAATTATTTGTGCTAGGGAACGAAAATTTGGACAAGGAGCAAGAGTTTTGCCTCCGCTCCTAAAATTGTTTAAAAATTTCCATTAATTCACTCGGGGAAAATGTTTGAAAAATGAGTATTTTGCATTGGATTAGCATTAGCCAGTGTTATAAATGAAATTGTGGACGATTCTGTTTAGGAATTTATTTCCTATTCTTTAACGTTTAACTAATTTTAACATTAATTTTTTAAATTTGTTATTTAATTAATGTTTAATTAATTTGTTTTAATTTATAATTAATTTGTTTTAATTTATAATTAATTTGTTTTAATTTATAATTAATTTGCTTTAATTTATAATTTTTTCTTTGATCAACGTGGATGGCACGTGAGGGCTATCTCACAGTTGGTATTTCTCAAGTTATCTGATGCTATGTGTTTGTTTACAGCAATGCTTTTAAAACGGGTTTTTATAAAACTAAATAATTTAAAATCTACTATATAATTAAAAGAAATAAAAACGTAAGTTATGTACCGAAAAGTAAAATTAATGGAGCAATGGAACTAATTTGCGTGAGAGAAACGTAAATCACATCTTCATACTAAGTATTATTGACGTCAATACTGCTTAATTACTTTTGGTAATAGGCACTACTGGTATTATGGTAATTGTTGCAGTTATTGATAGGTACCAAATATTTCAATTTAGGTACAACTGTAGAACATTTATTAATAAACTAATCAAAACAAAATGAATGATTACCTGAATTAAAAAAAAATAATCAACTGTATATGAAAAAAAAATATCTTTTAACTTAGGAATATAGAATGTGTGGCATAGTAATAAGTTACTTTATTTATTAACAAACTTAAAGTATAACCTTATATTGTACAACAGTTCAAAATGGAAACGGTTTTTATTTCTCTTGAGTCTTTATGATTTGTATCTGTTAACAACTAATATCTTTCTATTATTTTCAAAAAAATTTCATTTTTTACCTTTTAATTACGTAAGGTATCAAGTCAGTCACGAAATTAAGAAATAAATATCTTGAGAGTGATACATTTTTTAGCAGAGATAATAATTTTTCAATAGAATCCTTTCTTAAAGCGAAGGAAATAAAAAAAAATGTGCAAAAGAGACCTTAAAAAACTCGAGGTTTGGTTTATAATTGAAAATGGCTTTTTCAGAACGTTTGATTTCCACTCTGCAGTTTAGCGATTAGTAGATCTCAGATGGATTTTTTTTAATCACAAGTCAAACAGTTAATAATTCTCGACCTAAATATTGAATCCTAAATTTTTTTTATTCCATAATCTACCTTCGTAATTTAAATCCTCTAAGTCTCATAGACTTTACGCAGCAAAACAAAATGTAACATAGAGCAAAAAATGTGAGAAAAATTCGTAAAAAAGCTCTTAAAAATGCTATAACTTTCAAACAAATCGGAATTTTTTGTTTTGTTTTCAAAAATCATTCAATTTTATAAACGAAATTAGTCTCTCTTTCAGCATGTTCAATGAGATACCTGCAAGTGACGTAGTGTGGGAAACTCGATCCTGATTTGCTGTCGGAATGCGACATTTGTTTAGGTTAGCAACTGTTCTTTCCATTCTATTTCTAGTAAGTCATATCTGTCAAGTATCAATTCTCTTAAATGACTCATTTTACATTCTTTTGCAAAGATATTAATTCTTTAACTATATGTTTCTTACTTAACACAAAGACTGGCACGAAGCCACGTAGAACACAAACAAACTAATTAAGCATCGAAGTTGCCAAGTACACAGAGCAAAAACATATCACGGTTACAATAAAATACCTAAACAAATAATAAATTTAAGTGAAGTAAAAGACGCAGACGAGAAAGAATTATATTTCAACAAATTTGATGCTCGATACGGCTCTGTATATAATTAACTTCAAGTTAATTAATATTCTAATTTAAGTGGAGAAACATAGCTCGACTTTAACTCGCCATTTTGCTAATAAGCGATCAGCTTGCGCTGATGTTATAGATCGCAAGTGTGGGTAGTAGTGATCCTCTTTTTCTTGAAGTGCAAGTACCCAATTTCTATCCAGTGGTTGCATTCCTGCGACTTATAGAGCAGCCAGCATGGTATTCTCCTCAAATTTAAGTGTTAATAATTCTCGAACTAATTATCAAATGTTAATTTTCTTTGTTCCATCGTACTCTCTGTACGTTTTTCTACACTCTTTTGTAATTTCAAATTCCTGTGTCTTATAGGTTTTTTTTTTGGGGGGGGGCAAAGCAAAATGAAACATTAAGTTCAAAACCCAAAACGACTTCTTAATATCAAGATAAAACAATTAAAAAGTATGTGGTTTGCGTATAAAAATACTGACATCTAACAAACCACCGACTTTATATATGCTTTCTTTAAAAATTTTATAAGAAATTTTTATAACACATTTTAAAATAAGCATTATAATAAAAGAGCATAATATTTAGAAAATTAACAGAGAATGTATACTTGATTCTCATAATTACGCCCAATATTTTAATTCTTGCTTTGTCGTGCAGAACCACTGAAAAGTTGCTCTAAAATAATTTTTTCAAAATTTTTTTATCTTAAGTTTCAATCATTAATATCATGTTTTAGTACATATTACATACATAAAGCAAAATTAAAAAAAAATCTATTCTAAACATTTTAAAATTTGAATTTATCCGGATTCCTTAAAATCATACACGCCAATTTTTAATCTTTTCGCTGATGGTTTTCTGAAGAAGTAGTAAAATTAGGTTTGAGTTACAGTCATATGCAGGAATTTAGTTTTTAATTTCTGAAAGTTTCAAAGCACCATACTATAAATACAATACTTTCATATATGTTTTCAATTTATTTGTTTGCACTGGTGATCGAATTCATTTTAATCTAAATTTATAAGTCCAGAAAATAAATAGAAAGCATAAGTTTTACTAAAATTTTAAGTACAATAATAAAATTTTATGCAAAATGAGCGAAAGTTAGCAAATTTGTTTAAGATGCATAAGAAATTTCGTCACAACTTTGCAATAAAAATAACAAATTTATGTTGTTTATTTAGGTTTATTAAAACTTGCACATCTACAAACACAACAGGAAGGAAAAAGAAACCAGTCCATAAATATTCCTTTGCAGTCATCGTCTGGATCATATGCTAATAGCCTGTGCCACTTATACTTCTGCTCGCAACTACAATCATTAGCACATTTTTTAGTTTGGTTTTGTCTGAAACGAAACAAATATGTCATCAGTGCATTAGTTGTATATATATTATTGTATCAGTGCATTAGTTGTATATATATATATTAGATGTATATATATATTAGTTGTATATATATTTATAAATATTTTTTAAATTTTTTTTTATCATCAGTAAAGTATTTTTGCGTTTCTCGTAGAATCGTCACAGTCTTGTAAATAATTCTTAGAAAAATCAGTGCAAAATCGACCAGAATATTGTACTTTGAACAATAATGCTGTGTGAATATTCAGCAATCTCAATAAGGAGTTAAACTGAAACGTGTTTTAGTTGAAGTTGACCCATACTATCATGCAATCAAGTTAAAGAAGGATTCATTTGCAAGATGATATGGTTCAACTTACCGTATTGCAGCAAATTCGAGCAGAATTAAAACTGCGTAGGGACCCATGCTCGGAAATGTCGTCGTACCTTCCCTATTATGACCTGTTCAGAGGCACACGAAGAAATTGTTCATAATAGGGAATCACCCCCAATGACGTATGACGACATTTCCGGGCATGGGTTAGCATGTAATTTCAACCCGATGATGTTCCATAGCTCCCTTTGAAGTTTACAGCAACATTTATGTGACATCCTGTTATTTATGAGATTTTGCATTTGAATATTTCTACAAAAAATAGACCAAAAATGTCATTTAAAAAGCTGTAGATTGGTGAGACGAACTGATTGCTGATTCGAAATCAGCTAAGCAAAAATATCCAAAATCCGTTAAAAAAATTTCTTACAATAGGCAGCCTTAGTGTTATTAATCAAAATAAAATTTTTTGATTTATTGGATATTCAGTGGGTGCAAGTGCATCCTCATGCCGTTGATAAGGGGTATTTGCTAATAATTTTATTATCAATCAAAATTTAAACAAAATAACTATTGTATTGAAATTATTTCACATAGAGAAAAAATGCAGCTTACTGGCACACTTCTTGATGTATTGCTTGCTGTAAATGCTGTGTATTGACAATAGCTCTTAATTTTCCTGCGCTGTTAGACGACCAATATGGAGTCACGATTTCTATTGCAGATTCACATGCATCAACTCTAGATGCAAGAGAGTAATTAAAAAATCACACAATAACAAATAATGTAATGTATACTTCAAATACATGTTATACACTCAAAGACGTATGCATTATGCAATGCAAAAGCACTATATATTTGCTGACTATACAGTATTCATAGGTATTTCAAATTTTTGTTCAGTGATTTTAGTGTTTTGTCGTATAGGTTATTAGTACAACTAGTTATTTTAACATTACATTAATTTGCTAATAAAAAATTACCGACATTTTCATATTTCCCTATGAACATGCATATTTCACTAAAAAGAAAAAGTTACTGGTTATGAAATATTATGGTTATGAAATATGAATAGGTTGGAAAATGACAGATGAATTGAAAAATTAAATTGAAGAAAAACATGAAGGAATTGAAATGTACAATTTTCACAGGGAAAAACTAGCCTTCGTGAAGGACTGGTAGGGAAGTCCGTCAGGAAAAGCTATATAACAATATTTTTAAAATCAAATTGAATTTACTGAAACAACGTGGCAGTTTGAGGACAAAATTAATGTAGGCCAGTAAAAATTCTTTTGGCTGAAAAAGTCAGAGACTTGCAGCAGAAAAAATTGTTTATAGTATTGTATTTAGCGTTCTTAAATATAGCTCTAATATAAATTTTGGTTAATGTGCTTATTTACTCCTTAGTTGTTCACTCCATGGAGGTCTTTTTATTGACCTTCTTTACCACACAGCTCCACTTTCTCCCATATTTGGCTTTTATAATTAAATTTTTGATTTTCATCTTTTTAAAATCTCCCTCTACCTCTTTTAGCTAACTTTTTCTGGGTCGTTCGATCTTTTTCTTTCCATCTAGTCTTTTGGTCAATGTATATTCCACATTTATTCGTAAGTAAAGCCTAGTACCATGAGTACCGGGAATAAATATTGAATGCAAATCGAATCTATTGGTTTGTGTCTGGAATCAACAGGGATCTAGAGAAAATTTCCTTCCCCTTTAGACCTATTTCGAAATTGTGGAAGTGGCTTTAATTATGAAATGAGATCCCCTCTGCAGAGGATCAGTTGGTATGTCTTCTGATCATCCTCAAGGCTGTTTCCCAGACCGTCTCAAATAGCCCGTTGTGCAGATCTAGGTGACGTAAATAAAAAATACATTTAAAAAAGTAGTAGTGAGCAAAACGCTGCAATATCTATCCCTTAGCTATTTTTTAAATTGAGTTTTAAAATTTTTAGTCAATTTTCTTGACATTCTTTGTTGCAAATACGTTGTAGTAAAAAAGTGTGAAAATGCTGAATAACTTAAATCAATTTACAGCTGCAATTTCATTGTAACAGTAAACTTGGGAAAATAGGTGAAAATAGATGAAACATGGTCCGACATTGTTCTCAAGTAAGAAATGACAGATAAATTTATATAATATCGCAATGAGAGATTAAAACATACTTATTTGAGGCAGCAGTGTAGGAATTTCTGGAAGCAGCTCTCTTGGGTCTTACTCGAATTTTCTTTCCATCATATGTTTCGAAACTATCAGGAATTTCGCTGTCTACTGGCGCATTTGTGTAGTCCCCAAACATTCGTTTTATGAGTGCTTTGTTCTCATCGATGAACGTTTCTATTTTATCTCTGAAAAGATTTGGAAGCATTTATTTCAGATAAGTATTAAAAGATTTCTCAAAGGGAAAAAGGCTATGAAATCAGTCATGGAATTAAAAAAATAATTTGTTTACAGAAATACTGTAATAATTACAAAGAAATTATGCTTGTTATGGGAAGTAATCTTTAAAAATTATTAACTTTAGCAAAATTAGGGAAAATTGAAATATTTCTACAGTTTTGAAATATTATAAATAGTTGTTAGTGCTAAATTGTTCGATGGGCTTCCCTTGGCCGAGTGATATTGCCCGCCAAACGCTCTGTAGCAAGGAGAGAGCGAGTTCGAATCTCGTATAAGCCTGGATGCATCTTCGTGCTGTCCTTCTCTGAATTGTACTATCTGTCTTAGCACTGGGTTACAGGCCGTATTTATGTAATTAACACACAAGCCTGCACGCTTGCGCACCAATAAATAGAGTGTTAATTTTGGGGAAAATAGATTCAAACTAGTAAATGAATCGATTTAAATTTGAATAGGCAACTGGACATTACAAACATTGTATTAAAATAGATTTATTTAGTTCCACAAATCTAACTACCAATTCCATCGATATAAAATCTAAGCCTAAATCACCTTGAAACTTAATCGGTCTCGGTTACTATTGCAACTTCATTCAGAAGGTATTTTTTTTTTAATTCTTATTATATTTTTGGTTACTATTAAAACTCATTAAATATTTTTCGCTAGGGATTTCAGCAATATTGCAAAACTTTAATTCTTAATATTGCTTTGGAATTTAAAAAAAATATTTTGTATTCATTATTTTTATTGACAGCTTGGACTGGACACAGTTTCCCATAAAATTTATTATGAATATAAATTTAACTAATATATAATATATAACTATAAATTTAACTAATATAAATTTATATAGCATATTTATCACCTAAAAATTGCGAAAAAAGTTACTAAATATCCTTGCATCAATCATTGCAAAATCATATAATTTTGCATTATAAGGAAATATCATGCGATTATTTTAGGAACAAATGAAGAATGGGTTTAGGCCTGAGTCTTTAATTTTGAATATTAATCAAAAACACAAGCGTAAAAATGACAGAATATTATTAAGAATGGATTAGAAAGGTATTACTTATAAATACCTTTAAATAAGGTATAAATAAATAACAGGTAAATCTCAGTGTAACATAAAAACATAATGATCTAACATAGTTTTCCATTGTTGTCCATAACATAGTTTTCCATATTTTTTGTATCCCTAATTTAAAGGTATATTTATTTTTAACATTTATTTTTCTTATTCTATTCAGCTAAGCCTCCTATACTATGTATACTATAGTCTAATTCAGGGACTCTATACTCAGCTATTGTTACGTTTTTGGTTTTGATTTGCTATTGAGATAAAGTTCTCACTGTCTGGAAAACTCTTTAAAGTGGTAGCAAAAGTGAGATATATTTAGATATTTTAAGCTATCAATAAATATTAAATTAAAAAAAAATATGTATGGGTGCATAAAATAACTCTAGGATAATTTCGCAATTCACAAATAAAAGTTAAAATTAAAAAATTTTTTATTTTATTTTATCAAAAATATTTTAATTAACTTGTAATAATTTAAATTGTTTTTTAATAATAAAAAAACAACTTTGATCCAAGTAATAATCGCCAACTTGGCGAGATTGCAAAAGGTCGCCAAGAGGAGGGCTATTCTGGGATTTTACCCTAATGGTATAAAATGGTTCTATGATATTTCCTTATTACTTTATATTTTAAGATAAATTTATTTAAATCGGTATTGAAACTTATTAATTGTTTTATGATTGTTATTTTCTGGTGCAAATTTACATTAATACAATACCATAAATTGCAGTTAAAGAGACTAGTTTCATGATTAAGAACTTAGCGATCAGCCTCGTGTTTTATGTGATTCATGCACAAATTGTATTTATATATATGAGTCTGTTTGGTCATGGTGTACGCTTAGGTCCCAAGTTAAACGAATCCGTCAGGACTCCAACGTGCCTTTGAGAAAGTATTAAATTGAGGTTGAGATTTCAGCAAATTTGTTAAAAGAATAAACATTTAATTCTAAATGTTATTTAAAAAATGATAACTAAGCAAAGTTATTTATGTTCACTTATATATCTTAATAGAACCAGGAGAGAATTCTTTGAACATAGAAAATGAGATCACAAGCGTAAGCAAACATAATTCGCTGCGGTTCATATAGTTTAAGTGAATAACTTCATATCTTTTGTAAAAAAAAATGTTTTAGACCAAAAAACAACAATTATTGCGAAGGTCGCAACATCGGGGTTGGTGATCGTCAGAGAACAAGGAGCTTAGCCCCATAGTACCATTACATTAATGTGTGCTTTTATTAATTTTATGCTTATGACAGTAAAAAGTATCTGGATCTGCTTTGTATATTAAAGATCGCATATTTTTATTTATTTTTTGTTTAATGCAGATGTCTAAGCTGGCGTCACTTCACTTAACTGTCCACCATCAATTTATCAGTGATCAATCAGTTAGATAACAACGAATAAGATGTGTTTCTGTTGAGAAGGGAATACGTAAAGGTACACAACAGCAATGAAAGTTTAGTGGTTCATTAGGACCACTTAGGTATTCATTGAGTGGTCCAAAATCTTATTATGTTAAATAAACTTGGGAAAAAGAAAATCGAACTTCACAATTCAATACACATCAAAGTTATTAATCGCCATATATATCACTCTAAAACTAATAAGGTTCATTAGCCCATGAAAATTGAAGATTATAACTTATTAAGATTGAGTGTAAAAAAGTTGCAATAATATTAATAATTAGATTCAACATAGAGATTAGAATGCTGAGATCAAATAAACAAATAAATGAGAAAAACAGAAAAAAGTAAGAAAGGACAAAATATCATATAAAAAATTAATTATCTAAAACTTATAAAATTTTAAATAAAGTCAATTCTAAAAGAGCAAAAAATATTATTTTATTGATGAGCATTTATAATGCCAGTACATGAATTCAAAGCACAGCAATTCGAAATTCACCGTTTAAATTTAAATTTTTTTGTATAAACACTCTCTGTTATTCCTTTGAATATCACTCATTTGAATTCCATAACACGAGTTGAACAAAAAATTTTCTTCAATATTTTTTTTTTAAATGTGTTGAATTCGAAGCAGAATTTTTATTTTTGTTACTATTTTGTAAATTCCAAACATATTTCAAAACGACAAATTTGTCGCCTAAGCGTGTGATTTTGGCGACATTTATGGAACATTTGGCGACAATTGTCGCCATACTGGCGTGAACCTTACGTATCATACAATAGAAACAGTGCAAACAGCTAGTTGCCATTCACAACCACAAAATTACGAAATTGATTAATTCCACTCATGGATTCTACTCAGCCTCTGGCTCTCTTTACATCTCTATGAGAAAGTACGAAACGGTAACATGACTATTATCTTTTTGTGATGCGTAGAGGCAAGTGACTTAAATTTAAAAAAGAAAAATAAAGTTTTAACATTGCGAGTATTATGAATCCAAAGCTTAAATAAAAAACAACCTTTTTAACTCACTGAGGATAGTTTTGACCAGGAGAAGGACAATATAACTGGTTCAGTCGCTTAATGCAAGGAATGCCTCTGCTTATCTCAGCTATAACAATCTGAATCCCTGTGGTTGCTATCGTTAAAATTAATATTATTTCCTGAAAAAAAGAAACAAATAATTTAAATCCATGCAACATCATTAGGTTTTTAAATGCTTACATTGCTAAAAAAATGTAAATGTTTTGTTATAAATATTTAGCTAAAATAAATACGAGAGAAATTCCTAATTAGTCAGTATTTAAAAGAAAGGCGCGAGGAAGTTGATAAATGTTGTATTGTTGAAATATAATAAATAAGAAATTAATTAATAGTTAGTTGTGAGATATTTGTCTCAAATTTCTCCTAAATACATAGTTGAAAGATACACATGAATTTATTTTAGAAACACATAGTTAAAAGAATACTCAAGAAATCGTATAAATACATAATTGAGAGAAATTTTTTTTGAAATTTCTAAAAAGATACATAGTTGAAAGGTAAATTTTAAAAATCTCTTAAAAACAGGTAAAACATGGCAGGTTATAATAATTTTTTAAAGAAATATTTCACGATTTTTTTTAACAATATAAAATTTTCAAGTTTAAATTGATAGCTTAAAATATTTGCCCTCCGTTTGCAATATTATTTCTAACTTAAATTATAAATTACCAAAGGATTATATTGTTAAGGATTTTACACAGGAGTAAAAAGATATTCAAACCTCTCCACTAGAGGGTGGTTTGACCCACTAAGAGGGAGGTTTGACTAACGGAAATTAAAAGAGTAATTAAAATTTATGAAGCAATAATTAAGTGTATAAAAATGTTACAAGTAATAATTGTATTTAAAGACATGTTTTCTTTTTTGGAGATTTTTCTCTTGGTTGTAGTTGGTTGCAGTAATAATATCAATTTATTTTTCCCTTCAAATTTGATATCTGAACAAAAAGAAAGTCAAGAATCAAGATTTTTTTAAAGAAAATGCTAAACAGGAGAACAAGTCGTTAAACGCCGCTGAACTGAAAAATCGCAGCCGGGCGCAATCGCAAAATCCTCAAAAAAATTTAGATCTCCACCAAATTTCAATTTTATTTTATTTTTATTCTATTTAATTTTTTAAACACATAAGAATTAAATACAATAAAAATTAAATTCAATAAAAATAAAATTAAATAAAATTAAATAAAATTAAATAAAATTAAATAAAATTAAGTAAAATTAAATAAAATTAAATAAAATAAAATTAAATAAAATAAAAATTAAATAAAATAAAAATTAAATAAAATAAAAATTAAATGAAATAAAAATTACATAACATTTTTTTTTTTTTAAAAAATAGTCGACTTTTTTGCGCTCTGTTAACCCAAAAGCAAATAAAAATATAAACTAATTACAGCAAATAAAACAACAAATTTGAAAAAAAAAACAGCAAACACAAATCTGAACTGGAATTGCTAAATTAGTATAGCTATCTGAAGACAAATATTTTTTTTGTTTGGTTCCTTGTCCTCTTTTTTTAATATTTTCTGAATTTTTCTTCACTTTCCTTCGCGTTGGTCCTTTCCTCGATTTTCTCTTTGACATAAATGTTGTCAAAATCCTCAATTTATCACAATGTGCAGCCTTCCTTCGTAATCATTTTGTACATTTGAATAAAAAAACCTTATTAAAATAGAAAATAAAAGTAAACAAAAGGTATACTGTCTTTAACAATATTAATTTAATAACCAGCAGAGATGAACTTTTTTCTCTTAAAATAGGGTCAATTTGTGAAGAAAAAAAAATTTCTGGTTGAAAACTACATAGCAAATGATTGGTTTTACTTGTAAGTGTTAGAGATAGGAAATATATAAGATTATGCCTGATGCTATTCTGCTATTCAGTGCACAATGGCTAAATATATGTTTAAACATGCAAAAGAACGAGTTGATCAAACCTCTCATTCATCCCTTGCAAAAACCCCTTAAAGAAACGCTTAAAAAAATTCTGATAAATGTACAGCTGAAATAAATATACTATTCCCATTCTGAGAATCCCTCATATTTTCTGATATTTAAACCTTATGTGCTTGCAAGTAGTTTTTGATTCATACCTTTAATCATATTTTCGATTACCTTATCCATATGTTACGTAGATTTTTATAGATTTTCTATATTCCGATAGCGTTTCAGCGATGATCTAAATGATCAATGAAAAAATGGACATGTCTTACAGGAATTGACAATGTTTACACCACAATTTGAATGATTTTTCTCTGAAGCACCTTTTGAAGTAACTAAATACAAATATCTTTCTCTCGTATAAATCATAATATGTTTTGAATCCTGCTTTTCTTTCTTGTATTTTCAGTTGAATTTACACACATTTGTGCAATGGCCATGCCAAAACATTTCATTACCCCAAATTGCAAGAAGCTGATCCAAAAGGAATTATAAACAATTTTTCTTCTTCTTTTTGACAATATATTATGACTTTGAACATACAGGGTGTTTATAAAGTCCCGGACCCATTTTAATGTTTAATAACTTATAAAATAATAAAGATAGATTAAAATTAATAACATAAATGGTTAGATAGACTCAAAAAGTTTCATGACCNGTGTAGAGGCAAGTGACTTAAATTTAACAAAGAAAAATAAAGTTTTAACATTGCGAGTATTGTAAATCCAAAGATTAAATAAAAAGCAACCTTTTTAACTCACTGAGGATAGTTTTGACCAGGAGAAGGACAATATAACTGGTTCAGTCGCTTAATGCAAGGAATGCCTCTGCTTATCTCAGCTATAACAATCTGAATCCCTGTGGTTGCTATCGTTAAAATTAATATTATTTCCTGAAAAAAAGAAACAAATAATTTAAATCCATGCAACATCATTAGGTTTTTAAATGCTTACATTGCTAAAAAATGTAAATGTTTTGTTATAAATATTTAGCTAAAATAAATACGAGAGAAATTTCTAATTAGTCAGTATTTAAAAGAAAGACACGAGGAAGTTGATAAATGTTGCATTGTGGAAAAATAATAAATAAAAAATTAATTAATAGCTTGTCTCGAATTTCACCTAAATACATGGTTGAAAGAAACACATAATTTTTTTTTTTGAAACACATAGTTAAAAGAATACTCAAGAAATTGTATAAATACATAATTGAGACAAATGTTTTTTGAAATATCTAAAAAGATACGTAGTTGAAAGGTAAATTTTAAAAATCTATAAAAGACAGGTAAAAAATGGCAGGTTATTACCTATTTTAAAGAAATATTTCACGATTCTTTTAACAATATAAAATTTTCAAGTTTAAATTGTTTGATAGCTTAAAATATTTGTCCTCCGCTTGGAATATTATTTCTAACTTAAATTATAAATTACCAAAGGATTTTATTGTTAAGGATTTTTCACAGGAGTAAAAAGATGGGCAAACCTCTCCACTAGAGGGTGGTTTGACCCAATAAGAAGGAGATTTGACTAACGGAAATTAAAAGAGTAATTAAAACTTATAAAGCAATAATTAAGTGTATAAAAATGTTACAAGCAATAATTTTATTTAAAGAAATATTGGTATTTTTCGGCTCATTTGCAATCCAGCGGCTTTTAACGACTTGTTTTCTTTTTTGGAGATTTTTCTCTTGGTTGTAGTTGGTTGCAGTAATAATACTAACTTCTTTTTCCTTTCAAATTTCATATCTGGACTAAAAGAAAGTCAAGAATCACGATTTTTTATTTAAGAAAATGCCAAACAGGAGAAAAAGTCGTTAAACGCCGCTGAATTGGAAAAATCACTGGGGGCAAGCGAAAAATCGGCAAAAAAATGTTGATCTCCGCCGAATTTTAATTTAATTTAATTTTTATTCTATTTAATTTTTTAAACACATAAAAATTAAATACAATAAAAAATTAAATAAAATAAAATGAAATAAAAAATTGAATAAAGTAAAAATATTAAAAAAAAATCGTCGATTTTTTTTCTGCGTTCTGCTGACCCAAAAGCAAATGAAAATATAAACTAATTACAACAAATAAAAGAACAAATTTGAGAAAAAAACAAACACAAATCTGAACTGAAAATGTTAGATCAGTATAGCTATCTGAAGACAATTATTTTGTTGTTTGTTTCCTTGTCCTCTTTTTTTAATATTATGTGAATTTTTCTTCACTTTTTTTCGCTTTGCGCCTGCCTTTTCTCGATTTTCTCTTCGACAGAAATGTGTGTCAAAATCCTTAACTTATCACAATGCGCAGCCTTCCTTCATAATCATTTTGTACATTAAAATAAAAAAAAAACTTATTAAAATAGAAAATAAAAGCAAACAATAGGTATACTGTCTTTAACAATATTAATCTAAGTACCAGCAGAAATAAACTTTTTTATCTTAAAATAGGATCAATTTGTGAAAAAAAAATTTCTTTTTGAAAACTGCATCGCAAATGATTGGTTTTACTTGTAAATGTTAGAGATAGGAAACATATGATATTATGCCTGATGCCATTCTGCATTCAGTGTTCATTAGCTAAATAAATGTTTAAATATAGAAAAGAAAGGGTTGATCAAACCACTCATTCATCCCTGACAAAACCTTTAAGGAAACGCAAAAAACATTTCAGATAAATATACAGCTGAAATAAATATACTATTTAAATCCCATTCTGAGAATCCTTCATATTTCCTGATATTTAAAACTTATGTGCTAGCAAGTAGTTTTTGATTCATACCTTTAATCGTATTTTCGATTACTTTATCCATATGCTACGTAGATTTTTATAGATTTTCTATAACCCGATAGTGTTTTAGCAATGGTTTGAATGATCAATGAAAAAATGGACGTGTCTTACAAGAATTAACAATGTTTCAAATCATAATTCGAGTGATTTCCTTTGAAGCACGTTTTGGGGTAACTACATCGAATATCTTTCCCTCGTATAAAGCATAATATGTTTTGAATCCTGCTTTTCTTTCTCGAATTTTCAGTTAAATTTACACACATTTGTGCAATGGCCATGCCAAAACATTTCATCACCCCAAATTGCAAAGAGCTGACCCAAAAGGAATTATAAACCATTTTTTTCCTTTTTGATAATATATTATGACTTTGAACATATTTTCTAATCAAATTTTTGTTAGGATGATTGTTTCCTCGAACTGAAATGAATTGAGTAGTTTTTTTGAATCAGCATTTGAACCCTTGCTGAATGAACCCTTGAACCCTTGCTGAATGAACCCTTGAACCCTTCGAGAAATACAAACAATTATTTACTATTTCTTAGTTTCTTTTAAAATATCAGTTGTTTCATTAAATTAGAAAAAAATAGTATTTGGGAGAGGGAGATTGAAGTGAATATGGATCCACTGTGGACAGTTAGAATGTTTCTGTTGTTCATATCACTCAAAATTTCTGAGAAAATTCATTAGATTTGTAAAACTGTGTAATATTTTTAGATACTAAAGCAGTAATTGCTAAGTAGCAGATTAAAAACCAGGATTTTCTGATGAGAAAGTAAATTCTTAATTAATTTTTTAATTGAAATTTTAAATTATTTTTATTCATTGTTTATAATTATAGTCGATAGCATGCAATAAAAAATATACATATTAAATTTTTTAATGTTCAAATTTGATTTACCTTTTTTTTAAAATTTACCAATATTAAATTTAAGTGATATAGGTGTTTTTGATTTTATTGAGAAGGCATTAATGTGCAACTTTTCGTTTTTTCATAATTTATCTAAAATTCGACCTAAATCTTAATTTTTTACAGAAGTTTAGCAAAAGTAGAAGCATTATTTAAATGTAAACACTTATGGGAAACAATGCTAAAAATTTTTGCAATTTAATTTTCTTTAGATCAAAAATTTAAAGAATTAAAAACACTATGACATCTGGTGCTCACGATAAAATTTAAAAAAAAAAATCCTATTAATGACATGAAACAATATTTAACCCTTTGACGCAAATGGAACATGATTGGGATGGATGTCCCCTTTATGACACCTTAATTACAAGCAAAAATATATTTTAATATTTTCTTATTACAAAAAGCAGTCTAATTGTTACTAAAAATCTGCTTGATTAGCAGAATTATATTTGCACTAAAATATAAAATTAAAAAAAAAGTAGTTTAAAATTTTATTTTTCTGTCATACTCAAAAATTTATCAATAATTAATTTCGTAAATTAAGGAAATTTCAACGATGAATAACTGTATCTCTTAGATCTAAATAACTGCAAATAAGAACAAATTCGGTAAAAATTATTCCGTGGAATTGAGCCGTGTTGGGAGGATTTCACCTTTAAGGCAGAAAAAGACACAGGAGTTTCATGCCCTATTTCATAACCTTAAAATATTAAAATAATAAATAATATTTTACAGTAAATATAATATTTTACAATTATTTTGAGCTAAATTAATACAAAATAATGAAAAAAGTATAAAAAAATGTTTCTGATAAATATTCTACGTCAAAGAGTTCATCACCAGTACAAAAGTATATGTTTTGAAATTCCATTTACTCAAAGGAATTGAATCATGAAAAGTCGTTTTTTAAATTGACAAAAACTTAAAAATATAAAACGCTTACTGGAATTCATGTGCTAGTGTGAGTTTAAGTAACAAGATGTAATCTAACCAGTTACCAAATTTTATCTTTAGAGTACGCTATACTACGTATGAACACTTCATAACGAATTCTTATCCACCTACTCAATGAACTTGTTCATCTGCGTCACACTTTAGGCCAGAAGACCATGATCTTTGGCCAAAAGTCAAAAATTAAATTTTCAACTAAAATATACGTAGGCAGTTTTAATATAGCCCAAATTAAGTATTCATAATCATTCCAAACATTATAATTTTCTTTCTGCACCGACAAGAGTACAATGTAATGAAAAATATGTTAAAAAATGTTCTTTTAAATGCAACTTTTAAATTTTTATTTCAGAAATATATATAGGAATTTCACCTTACTGTTAAATTTTTATCAGAGCAATTAGTCTGAAATTATAGTAAAATTTTTCAATTTGTTGGATTAGTTAACACTCTTGACGAACTTATAGTTTATATCTTATCATTTGACATTTTACAATGTTTGAATGACTTTCGAAACTTAGTTCCAAAAAATTCCACGAGGTAATTAGCTAAACTTTTTTGTTGTCTTCTTTGATGTTTCTTCTTTCGAAAAAATCTGCCCCATTTTGCCCGTATTGCATTGGTGGACTAAATATACCGAAAAACAAAAATTATGTTTNTTAAAAAAAAAGTAGTTTAAAATTTTATTTTTCTGTCATACTCAAAAATTTATTAATAATTAATTTCGTAAATTAAAGAAATTTCAACGATGAATAACTGTATCTCTTAGATCTAAATAACTGCAAATAAGAACAAATTAGGTAAAAATTATTCCGTGGAATTGAGCCATGTCGGGAGGATTTCACCTTTAAGGCAGAAAAAGACACAGTTTCATGCCGCATTTCATAACCTTAAAATATTAAAATAATAAATAATATTCTTCAGTAAATATAATATTTTACACTTATTTTGAACTAAGTTAATACAAAATAATGAAAAAAGTATGAAAAATGTTTCTGATAAATATTCTAAGTCAAAGAGTTAATCACCAGCATAAAAATATATTTTTTGAAATCTCATTTGCTCAAAGGAATTGAATCATGGAAAGTCGTTTTTTAAATTGAAAAAAACTTAAAAATATAAAACGTTTACTAAAATTCATGTGGTAGTGTGAGTTTAAGTAACAGCATGTAATCTAACCAGTTACCAAATTTTCCTCTTTAGAGTACGCTATACTACGTACGAACTCTTCATAACGAATTCTTTTCCAC